TACCTTGTATATTGGAAGGATTGAGGAAAACCACCTGAAGCATGGCCAAAATATCCTCGGAAAACCAGAGCTGCAGTTCCTGGCCCGGTTCTATATTTCTGACGGCTTGCAGGACCAATTTCGGCTGCTGCCTGCCCCTGGACGTTTGATAAATCCTGAGCGAAAAAAAAAACGCATTGAAAACACTGTTGCAGACTTACCATTGAACGCTTACCTATATGAAGGCTGGAACTTCAGCTGCACATTGTAGGTGTGACAGTCGTCGCTCAGCTTCACCGCCCGCACCCAATGAACCTCCGGGTTCCACACGCTCTTGGACTTTTTGTCCAGATCCAGCGTGCCGAAGCAGGTGACTCCTGCAGAAATCTGCACACATGCCACAAATCAATCACGATCTTTCCAGAAACTTGCTGCAGGGCACCCACCTGTTGTACGTCGCTTTTCCCTAACAACATCAAGGGTTCGATGTTTACCGTCATGGCGCCTTGTGGAATGGAGACGCTTGCAGTAACACGTCCAGGCACCAGCAAGGCTCCAGGTGAGCTGAGCGCTGATTTGGACTCGAAACTTCGCGTAGGAGACAGAGGGATTAGGGGTGACGTCCAATCGCCGACCAGACTTTCCGAGGAGGATCCGGAAATAGGAGACGCACCAGGATCCGGAAGCAGACTATTAAGTGGTGACTGGTGCTGCACTTCCATTTTCCGCACCATACACGATTCCGTTTGCCACCAACTGGAAAATCGCCAGAACCACTTCGAAGCGCGGTGTCTTTTTGACAAGTACCGATTGACTGCCGGTTTCCCGGGAGATGGACAGGCAATTGTTTGGTGGTAGCAGGAAGATGAACTTGCACATGAGGGCTGGACGCGCTCATTTTGGGGGTGGCAAGCAGGCGGCCCCCAAGTCCATCCGCAGGAAGGGCTGAATACGTGTTGACACCCCGTATATAGCACGTGGTGTTGAGGGTAGTAAATTTGCGACCGCGGGTTGAATTGATGGACTGTATCTGATTTGTGGACAGGGTTGGCTTTGCTGCATTTTCGTCACAAGTTTCTAGTCTTAGCTGTGGCAAAACCGGTGCAATCAACCATTATCTATCTGCCTGCAGCTTCACATGGCGAGTTTTTGAAGTAGAGCCGCACTGATTTCCATTTTTAAAACTTGCACTTGAGTCTGCACAACACTATAATTATATCTGTTCAATAGAGCCATGGTTGCTTTATATTGAGGGAAAGTGGCAACTTTCTAGTTCATTAGAGCTTCAAAGGACGATTTTTTTAAACAGAGCCTGAATTGTTTTAACTGCAGATTCAATATGTATACACAATTTTTTAATTTTCCAAAAATCAGACTTCAGTTGCAGGGATTTACACCTTTACTCATTCAATAGAGCCAAGGTTGCTCCATGTTTCGTAAAACTGTCAAATTTTTGTTTTGTTAGAGCTTTAAGGGGCGAATTTTTTAAATAAAGGCTGCGCTGTTTCAATCGCGGCTTTAATATGGACATTTCAAAAAAATCCCAAAGTCACACTTCAGTCTGCAGGACCCTGCAACCTTACCTGATCAATAGAACCATGTTTACTCCATATTTGGGAAAACGGACAATTTTATATTTCGTTAAAGGTTCAATGAAGGAATTTTTGCAATATAGCCTGCGTTGTTTTAATCGCGGACTTATTATACATATTTTGAAAAAAATTTCAAAATCCTGCTTGATCCTGATGGACAGTGGAACTTTACCTGTTCAATAGAACCATTTTTGTTCTATGTTTGGGAAAACTGGTAATTTTCTATTACGTTAGTGTTTCAAATAAGAAATTTTTAAAACAGCCTACACTATTTCAATCAGGGATTCATTCTACACATTTTCAAAAATTTCCTAAAATTACACTTGTGCCTGATGGAGATTCAAACTTTGCCTGTTCAATACCAAAATATTTCCTCTGTCTTTGGAAAAACCAGCAAATTTCTTTTTTACCAGAGCTTGATACTGCGAATTTTTGAAAAAGAACCGTTTGTTTCAATCGCGGATTCAATTAACATATTTTCAAAAATTTTCCAAAATGATACTAGAGCCTCACGGACATTGCAACTTCGACTGTTCAATTGAACCATATTTGTTCTATATTGGAAAAAAACTATCAACTTTCTATTTTGTTGGAGCTTCAAAGGGATTTTTGAATTACAGTCTGCACTGTTTTACTCGCAGATTCAATATACACATTTTCGAAAATTTTCCAAATTTATAATTCCGTCTGCAGAACATTATATCTTCACATTTCCACTAGAGTCGTATTTGCTATATATTTGGTAAAAGTTGAACCTTTCTATTTCATCAGAGCTTCAAAGAGCGAATTTCTTAAATAGATCCTTCACTGTTTCAAATGCGGATTCAATATACACATTTTCGAAAATTTCTCAAAGTCACTCTTCAGTTCGGTGGAAAGTCCACATTTAGCTGTTTAATAGAACTAAGTTTGCCTTACATGTGGAAAAATTGGCAAATTTCTATTCCGTTAGAGCTCCAAAGAACGATTTTTCGAAATAGAGCCTGCAATGTGTTAATGCCGCATTAATTTTTCAAAAAATTACCAAAATCACGCTTCAATCTGTAGGCCCTTACTCCTTTCCGTGCTCAATAGAACCAGACTTGCTCTATATTCGGAAAATCTAGCAACTTTCTGTTTTGTTACAACTTCAAAGGACGATTTTTTAAAATAGAGCCCGAATTGTTTTAACTGCAGACTCAATATGTATACACATTTTTTTAATTTTTCAAAAATCAGACTTCAGTTGCAGGGATTTACACCTCATTCAAGAATTCCCAAAATCCTGCTTGATCCTGATGGACAGTTGAACTTTACCTGTTCAATAGAACCATTTTTGTTCTATGTTTGGGAAAACCGGTTATTTTCTATTTCTTTAGTGCTTAAAATAAGAAATTTTTAAAACAACCTGCACTATTTCAATCAGGGAATCATTATACACGTTTTCAAAAATTTACTAAAATTACACTTGTGTCTGATGGAGATTCAAACTTTGCCTGTTCAATACCAAAATGTTTCCTCTGTCTTTGGAAAAACCAGCAAATTGCTATTTTGCCAGAGCTTGATAGTGCGAATTTTTGAAAAAGAACCGTTTGTTTCAATCGCGGATTCAATTAACACATTTTCAAAAATGTCCCAAAATCACTGTTCACTTGAACCATATTTGTTCTATATTTGAAAAAAAAACTATCAACTTTCTATTTTGTTAGAGCTTCAAACGGATTTTTGAATTACAGTTTGCACTGTTTTACTCGCAGATTCAATACACACATATTCAAAAATTTCCCAAAATCATAATTCCGTCTGCAGGACATTATATCGTCACATTTCCACTAGAGTCGTACTTGCTCTATATTTGGTAAAAGTTGCACCTTTCTATTTTATCCGAGCTTCAAACAGCGAATTTTTTAAATAGGTCCTGCTCTGTTTTAAATGCGGATTCAATATACACATTTTCGAAAATTTCTCAGTCACTCTTCAGTTCGGTGGAAAGTCCACATTTACCTGTTTAATAGAACTAAGTTTGCCTCACATGTGGAAAAACTGGCAAATTTCTATTCCGTTAGAGCTTCAAAAAGCGATTTTTCGAAATAGACTGCACTGTTTTAATGGAATATACACATTTTCGAAAATTTTCCAAAATTATAATTCCGTCTGCAGACTTATATCTTCACATTTCCACTAGAGTCGTGTTTGCTCTATATTTGGTAAAAGTTGCACCTTCCTATTTTATCAGAGCTTCAAAGAACGAATTTTTTAAATAGATCCTGCACTGTTTCAAATGCGGATTCAATATACACATTTTCAAAAATTTCTCAGTCACTCTTCCTGTCGGTGGAAAGTCCACATTTACCTGTTTAATAGGACTAAGTTTGCCGTACATGTGGAAAAATTGGCAAATTTCTATTCCGTTAGAGCTCCAAAGAGCGATTTATCGAAATAGAGCCTGCATTGTTTTATTGGTGCATTCAATTTTCAAAAAATTACCAAAATCACGCTTCAATCTGTAGGCCCTTACTCCTTTTCCTGTTCAATAGAACCAGACTTGCTCTATGTTGGGAAAGTCTGGCAACTTTCTGTTTTGTTACAACTTCAAAGGACGATTTTTTTAAATAGAGCCTGCACTAAACTAAAAAAAATTCAAAAATTTTCCAAAAACACACACAGTTACTGTTGAACCTGATGGACATTCCACCTTTAGCTGTTCAATAGAACCGTGTTTTCTTTTTATTTGTAAAAAAATAATCTTTCTATATGCTTGTAGTGCCTCAGAGCGAATTTCTGAAATAGTCTGCTATATTTCAACAGCGGCTAAAATCGGCACAAAATTTTCAAAAAAAATCCCAGAACTACTCTTGATCCTGGTGGACATTCCAATTCTGCCTCTTGATTAGAGCAAAGTTTGCTCTATTTGTGGCGAGAATTGCAACTTTTTTTATCTATTAATAGCTTGAAAGAAAGTATTTTTAAACTTGGGTTTTCTGACCCAACTTCGCTCAAACGTGAGTTTCTCGAACAAAGTTCAACGTTTTCTGTGGGGATTTTCGAGCGAATTTGATTCTGAATATTTAGCGAAAATATGGAATATTGGAAAACTTTAAGGTTGGAACAGAAAGATCCTCGAATTCACTAGAACCGTTTTTAAACGAACTGTTTATCGATTTGAAAGCAAATTTGGTTTCTGGAATTTTAAGCAAATTTGGTTAAATTTTCGGAAAATTGCAATTCGAAACTGAAAAATCGTGAAATCTTGAAACAATTTCTTGGTTCTCTTACCAAAACTTTACTACTTTTTCTCGGATTTTAAGAGAATTTGATGTCTGGAATTTTTGCGCGAACTCGATAAAATTTTTGGTTAAAACCTTCAAATGGGAACCGAAAAATCCTATAATCCACAAAAATGCGCTCAAACATGATTTTCCCGAACAAAACTCAACTTTTTCAGGCAAATTCCGTAATGGAATTTTCGAAAACCGCCAAATAGAACAGATAAATTCTGAAACTCAATAAAGTCTTTATTTAACGTAGTTTTTCTGACCTAAACTTCGTTTTCCTTTGTCAATTTTTAATTAAACTTTATTTATGGAATGTTTGTTCTAATTTTGTTATATTTTTGAAAGCATCCAAGTTTTCCAAATTTTATTTTTTGGTTACTGGTTATTTTTTATATATTTTTTTTAATTCATCTCTCCATATGCTTGTAGTGATCCGGATGGACACCATAACTTTGCGTGTTGAATGGAACCGTATTTGCTCTATATTTGGTAGAGATTCCAACAATCTATCTGCTTACGGCTTCTCAGAATCAATTTCTGAAATAGAGCGTGCACTACTAAGTTTTTTTTTGTTTCAAATGCGGTCCTGTTCCTGGTAGCAAGTGCACTTTTCCGATCAGGTTGCAGAGCAAACTTGCCGCTCAATTCGCTCCGCCTCCACCCTTAATTCGGAATTAATACGGGGGCGAACACTTGTTTGGGGCTCCCTAAACCGCGAGGGGTCCCGGCGCTTTACGGATTATCCTCGCCTTGATCAGTTCATTAAGTTGCATTTTTTCCCGTAACCAGTCCGGTCGCAATCTTTTGATTTTGCATACAGGAAAACGCTTTAAACATTTTGGATTATTTTTGAGATTTGTTACTTAAAAAATGTGTTTTAAGTAGCTTCAATTGTCACTGTAATGTTTGCTTGTAAGCTTGCAAACTTGGGTATAAAAAATTGACTCACTCACTCGTTAAAAAAAGTAAACTCCAAAACCAGAACAAGAAGCGATTTGAAATTTTCACGCGATTTATAGAAAATATTGAGAAAAAAATTGTACAAACATCCAAACACCCATTAATTTTTAGGCGATTGCAAACTTGAGTCTAAAAACTACAAAATTCAAACGTACTCGCCTATTAACAAAAAATCATAACTAAAAACCCAAAGCACGACGCCCCTTGAAATTTCTATCAGATTTAGAAAAAACATAGAGCAAAAAATGGGATAAAGAGCGGCAATATTCCAAACACTGATTTTTACCGAGTTGCAAACGTGGGCCTAAAAACCCTAAAAGTCAAACTTACAAGCTCGTTAACAAAAAATCGTAACTTGAAATCCAGATCAAGTAACAACTGGAAATTTTTCCCAGATTTTTAAAAAATATTAAGCAAAAAATGGGAAAAAAGCTAAAAAAATTCAACTACTTTTTGATTTTTGAGCAGCGTGCAAACTTGGGAGTAAAAGTTCCAAAATTCAAACCTACTCGCCGGTTAAAAATTCGTGACTCATGAGCAAGTGACGACATGAAATGCTCAAATAATTTGCAGAAAATATCCAGCAAAAAAATGTGTAAACTGTAAACTCACTCGCTCGTTAAAAAAAGCTAAACTCCAAAACCAGAACAAGAAGCGATTTGAAATTTTCACCCGATTTATAGAAAATATTGAGAAAAAATTGTACAAACATTCAAACACCCATTGATTTTTTTAGGCGATTGCAAACGTCGGCCTAAAAACCCTCAAAGTCAAACGTACTCGCCTATTAACAAAAATCATAACTAAAAAACTAAAG